TTCCTTCCTTCCTTCCTTCCTTCCTTCCTTCCTTCCTTCCTTCCCTCTTCCTTCGTAAAAACATAGTAGCTCAAAGCTACTCAAAGCAGTCCTATAACTTTTACTAACTGATAACCCGGCATTGCCTGGGGTTTTATTTATAGGAGGAAAATATCCGGACAAACGTAATTTCTAATGTTGGATTTTCCCCATTACCAGAAGAGTACTGTGGAGTACTCCAGAGGCCCCCTTGTGAAGTATTGTGAAGCTGTTACCATGGCAACTCCACTGCACTGTACAGTAGAATCCATTTTACGGCAGTACAGTAGAAGGCATTTAAGGCACAACAGGATGTATCTTAACAGAACACACACCCCGAGGGGTGTTAAGGGTGTCTTACCCCCACAGTATTTTTTTTCCAGAGAGTAAGTCATCTGAGTACCAAGTTTAGTTGAAATTACTCGAGGCATTCCAGAGTTATGCTGGAACACACACACACACACACACACACACACACACAGCCATTTATATATATAGAGAGAGATAATTAATATCATTTGTTTAGCTTTGGCTTCATGTGAAAACTGAATCAATTGTGGTTTGGTCATTATACCACAGTTGACTGCATAAAAGCTTAACCCAATCAAGATCACAATGGAAGCCATCTGCTCCAATATAGCTGGGCTGAAATAAATCAATTGCTCTTTCATTGAATGGCAAAATGAACTGATTTGTTGAAAGAACATTTAGTTTGTGAGTATTTGGCAGAGGTGCTCTTTATTCATTATACCTTGGGTGAGTGAGTCAGCCAGTGCAAACCTGGGAGTTGTCCAACCTTTCATGTCTAAACAAAGTTTTCTGACTTTTGCTGCAGAGATTTTGGGAGCCCTGCTGTCCGTTCTCTCAATCTGGGTGGTGACTGGTGTGCTAGTTTATCTAGCAGTGCAGAGACTGATTTCTGGTGACTATGAGATAGAAGGAGATGCCATGCTTATCACTTCCGGCTGTGCTGTGGCTGTAAACATCATGTAAGTATGAAAGTTCAGGGTAATTTTTGAACAACATCCTAAAACCCTTAAGAAAAACTCAGAGCTTAGCAGCTGATGGACCCTGATCCTGGCAATACAGGGAGTCCTCGACTTACGACTACAATTGAGCCCAGCATTTCTGTTGCTAAGAGAGACATTTGTTCAATGAGTTTTTGCCCCATTTTACGATGCCATAGTTGTTAAATGAATCAAGTTACCATATTTTTCGGAGTATGACGCACCGGACTACAAGACGCACCAAGATTGTAAAGAGGCAAATTTGTTTAAAAATTTTTGCACTCTGCAGACCTCCCAAAAACGATCGGTGTTTGTCAAAAAAGGGCGTGCATAGCCTTTAGGAGGGTTATAGAGTGCTCCTGGCCGCTGGGGGGGGGGGCAAAATGAGCAAAAAAGGGCCTGTTTTTTGCTCATTTTTGCCCTCCCCAGCCCACAGGAGCAATCTGGAAACCTCCTAAAAGCTATGCACAGCCATTTTTGCAAATGGGGTTTCGGGAGGCCAAAAATGCTGTATTCAGTGTATAAGTCGCACCCAGAATTTCACCCTCTTTTCTGAGGGAAAAAGGTGTGTCTTACACTCCGACAATTATGGTAAGTTATTCCAAAGGGCTTTTTCAAGAGGCAATTGGACTTTATGGTTTTTCTTTGAAGCCGTTTCGCTTCTCATCCAAGAAGCTTCTTCAGCTCTGACTAAATGTTGGGGAATGGAAGGATTTATAATCTTTGCAGACAGCTGGTCATTTGCATTATTTTAGCGCAAGGTTCGGCAACCCGCAGCTCTGGAGCCGCATGTGGCTCTTTCATCCCTCTGCTGCAGCTCCCTGTCACCCGTCAGTTCCACAATTGGTAGGGCTTTCAGTGAGGACAGGTAGAGGAAAAAGGATGTCGCGCTAGGAGGAGACTCTATGGTGGCGGAACCGGACTTCTGATCAGCTCCAGAATTGAATGGGAGGGCTTCCTGTTAAGACCTTTGGGACTCTTTGGGTGTTTAAGGTTGCCGACCCCTGTTTTAGCAAGTTGTTAAGGCCACCTGGAAGTTTATCTGTATCATCAGGGTCATCCAGTTAGAGTGGAAGAAGCTTCTTGGATGAGAAATGAAATGCCTTCGCAGAAAAACCAGAAAGTCCAGTTGCTTCTCAAAAAAACACCTTTGGGACAACCATGACCTGGATGACTGAGAATCTCCATAGACATTCAGTTAAGTTAGTAACACTTAACTGTTACAAGTTGCCGTATTTTTCAGACTATAAGATGCATCGGAGTATAAGATGCACCATGATTTTGAAGAGGTAAATTTAAAAAAAAGTTTTTGCACTCTGCAGGCCTTTCAAACCCTGGGAAGGCCATGCACAGTCCTCCTAAGCTCCATTTTTGCTGGAGAGCACTCAAGCCACCACAGGCGTTCCTGACATGAGTGACATCCAAGCCACAGCCAATCTGACCACATCCCCTGCTTCTCCCCACCAAGCTCAAACAGAACCCTGATGCGGCCTTCAATGAAATTGAGTTTGATATCCCTGCCCTATACTAACAATAGCACTTAGGCTTACATACCGCTTCACAGTGCTCTACAGCACTCTCTAAGCGGTTTACAGAGTCAGCCTGTTGCCCCCCCCCCCCCAACAATCTGGCTCCTCATTTTACCCAGCTCGGAAGGATGGAAGGCTGAGTCAACATTGAGACCAGTGAGATTTGAACTGCCAAATTGCAGGTAGCCGGCAGTCAGCAGAAGTAACCTGCAGTACTGCAGTTTAACCACTGCACCACTATGGCTCAGTGTGGCTATACCATTTCAAACAAACGGTTGTCCGGTCGTTTCTTGCTTGCTTGCTTGCTGCCTGGCACAAAAACAGAATGCCAAACCTAAAAATAGCAACTCCTCCTACTCTTTTAAAGTCCAAAAGCCAAACAATCTGGCGGTTCTTCTTCTAAATAAAGGGACAGGCTTGATCAAAGCATACGCTCTTATATTCTCCTTCTGGTTTTGTTTCTTCATGTCAGACAGCCCTCAATTAGCATCTTGGAGAGCAACATTATCTGGTGCGTAGGTGTCTATTTGATTCCTAGTGAGATTGTACTTCCCTTCTGTTTATGCCAAGAATAACAAATACAAATAGTCTCCTTAGAGAGGGCTGTATCCCCTCCCCTTTTTATTGTTAGCTGCCTGAGTCTTCAGGGAATAGGGCGACATACAAGCCAAATCAATCAATCAATCAATCCTTGACTTAAAACCATTTTTAAGTGACTTTTCAAAGTTACAACAACACTGAAAAAAAGTGACTTACCATCATTTTTCACACTTACCACCATTGCAACGTCCCCATGGTCACCTGATCAAAATTTGGATGCTTGATAAGTGGTTCATATTTATGACGGTTTCACTGCCCCTGGGTCATGTGATCTGTTTTGGTGACCTTCTGACCAGCAAAGCGAATGGGGAAGTCAGATTCAGTTAACAACCATGTTAATGGCAGTGATTCACTTAAGAACCGTGGCATGAAAGGCTGTAAAATGGGGCGAAACTCAACAACTGTGTTGCTTAGCAACGGACATTTTGGGCTCAATTGTGGTCGTAAGTCGAGGACGACTTGTATCCCAACCCAATCATGGACAGCTTTCAAACTCCCGGGGTCACTTTGGCACTTTTTGATGCGTGGACTTCAACTCCCAGAATTCCCCAGTTGAAGTCGAGACATCTTAAGTTGCCATGGTTAATAAGCCCTGATCTGGAGCAACTTGTCCTCAAGGAAGGTTTCTCTACTTTTCATTTGGCTTTGTGCCTTTGTTGCAAAGTGGGCTGTGTGTGAGCAGCCAGTGTCATCTTCTCCAAACCTGCGATTCTTATTGTAATGGCTGCTGTCTGTGGAGAGTGGATATAGTGTGGACAGAAACAGATTCAGGATGAAATGTCCCCCTTAAGTCTTGGTTTGAAAGAGATGAGGAATGCCTTACTGGCAAGAGGAATCTGGAATCTGTGGGACCTTTAGGTAAAGGTAAAGATTCCCCTCACACATGCATGCTAGTCGTTCCCGACTCTAGGGGGAGGTGCTCATCTCCCAAAGCTGAAGAGCCAGTGCTGTCGGAAGACGTCTCCGTGGTCACGTGGCCGACATGTCTAAAAGCTGAAGGCACACAGGACACTGTTACCTGCCCACTAAAGGTGGTCCCTATTTTTCTACTTGCATTGTTTACTTGCTTTTGAACTGCCAGGTTGGCAGAAGCTGGGACAAGTAGCAGGAGCTCACTCTGTTACGCGGCATTAGGGACTTGAACCGCTGAACTGTCGACCTTTCTAATCGACAAGCTCAGTGATATATTTCACCCTTAATATTTTACCCTTAATATTTCACCCTTAAGTGGATGTGCTGGTTCGTGCTTTTTTTATGGTCCCAATTACCTGCTCTGTGCCATCTAAAATTCATCGTTTTGGTAGGCTGTCGAGATGCCATCCAGAGAGATGGGACCTTTATCATGTCTTATTTTAAAAAAATATCCATTCATTCATTGCATTGCTTGCTCTGAAAGGTCAAGATAAAATATCTGTGGCATGTCCCTTCATTTTATCTCAGTGAGGTATGTTGGACAGAGAGAGTGTGATGCAATAAGTTCCAAGATTGAATGAGGGCAGAGGGAAGGGCTTTGAAGATAGGAGGAGGAAACAGCTACCAAGGCAACAATCTGATAAAAGGGCCCTGAGCCTAGTCAAGAATGTAATGTGAGCAAACATCTCAAGCATGCCTAATATTTGAAGATAAAGGGAAGGAGGGGGTAACCACAATTGGGCTTGTAAAATTCTGTAATTGTAGCTTTATATAGGTAGTCCTCCACTTATAACTGTTTATTTAGTGACCATTCAAACTTACAACAGCACTGGGGGAAAAAAGACTTACGATTGTTTTTCACACTTATAACCGTTGCAACATCCCCATGGTCACATGATCAAAATTCAGACGCTTGGCAATTGACACATATTTATGACGGTTGCAGTGTGCTAGGATCATGTGATTATTTTTGTGACTTTCTGATAAGCAAAGTCAA